CCCAACATGAATTATATGAATATATATATATATATATACTAAGTATCATCGCGCCATGAAATTTTAGCATCAGGTGATTTGTTGTTTAGCCTGTTTATGAAGCTCCCCGCCTTTCGCAGGAACTCCATACAACAATCATGTCCCTTCTGTCGTGAGAGCCTCAGCAGAGTGAAGCCTGATGACTTGTGGGTGTATACTGATGATAGGGATATCATTGACTTGGCAAAAGTCAACACTGATGATCTGAAACGGCTGTATTTATATATAGATAAGCTTCCTTCAATGGGCGCTAATACATATTTTAATGCGGATGCTTCGCTTGAAAAATCGAGCTCCACAAACAGGTTGATTCTTTCCACGAATTTGAATTAGGATGGATTGAATTCTTCAGGGTTGGTTCACATTTTTATTTTCTTATGGCCATTTTAGCTGTGTTATTTATTTGTCATCCACTAACATTGGGATTACAAGTGCTTGGCATTAGTTTATTGTTAGATGGTTGGTGTATATAGTCCTTGGTAATGCATGCAAGCCCAATGGAAAGTTCCTTCTTGATGATGATGATTATTATCATTATTAACTGTTAATATTTGAGTTTTGGTTAAGTAAATAAGAAATAATTGCGTGTTGCAAATAGGAGTGTAAATGAGCTGAGCTTGCTTGTGTTCGGCTTAGATCGATATGTTGTTTTTTCTTTTTGGTCAAGAAGGATAAAAATTACTCTTACAAGTACAACAACAACAACAAAGACTTAATCCCACTAGGCGTGGTCGGCTACATGAATTTTCTCCATCTCCATTGCATCCTATTTAGTGTCATAATTTTACTCTTACAAATATAAAGATAAAATTACACAGTAATCTCACATCTCAATGAACTGAGTTTCATACATAGTTTTATTTTTTTATTTTTTTTATTTTCTTTACCAAATAAAGTTATTTCCTCAAAGTTGTAAAGCTAAAGTATTTATTTTATATTATATATTATTAATTTTTTAAAAACTAAAATTAGGATTTCATCATTGCGGTGTAGGCCAGACGAAAACTGTGTTCTTCTGTTTATTATTGAGAAACAGTTAGAGAAAATATTATATCCGATGTTTAGACGTGCAGGCGACGGTATGAATTGTCACACCACGTGTCTGGCAGCATGAAGTGATCCATACCATCAACCGCACGTCCAATTTACCGGACGTAATATTTTCTCAAGTTTATGACATTGTTGTTTCTATAGGCCTAATTCATTTTGTTCACGTCTCCTGAGCACTTCTTTCTGAGAGTTGGTGGAACTCACTTAAAGGAGATGTCTAAAATGCAATGAAATTGAATAATTTAAAAGCTAATTTATTGTCTTCTTCCTTGTTTATAAAACTCCAATGCCTTCTTATTTTAATTATTTATTTGTTTAATGGGCACTCAAAATCTTCCCGGCTAAAACCTATAGTTTACCTTCGAATTGGTAATGGATTGTATAGTCCGTATTAATTGACTTTTTTTCTGACGAATTATTTTTATGTGATATGCTTGCTCTATGATTATAGGTGAATATTATAGATATAAGGCATTAGGCATTTACATTCAAACCATCCAATTCCTATATATTTATACATCTAACATCTAAATTTTACTATTTACATTTATGCAATCCAAATCATTAATATCACATAAAAAAATATTACTATTTTAAATTTTTATAAAATGGAATACATCTTTTTTTATCAATAGACAAGGTAGTATATGTGTAAAATTTGAAGTTTAGGTGTAGATATGTAAATTCATAGGAATTAAGTTAGATATGTAAATTCATAGGATTAGGTGTAGATATGAATTATTTTTATGTGTAAAATTGCGAGAGAGAGAGAGAGAGATGAACATATATCATAATAATGTTAGTGTGTGAAACATTGCTAATGTATGTATGTATATATATATATATATATAGAGAGAGAGAGAGAGAGAGAGAGAGAGAGAGAGAGAGAGAGAGATATGAACATATCTCATAATAATGTTAGTGTGTGAAAGATTGCTAATGTATGGAACATTCAAGGATATTTTATGACGCAACTATACATTTTAAATTAAAAAATAGACAGGGGAGTCTATATTAAAGGAGGCAAAATGTGGGTCATCTCTTTGATGAAAATCTATAGTTTCTCATGAATATGATCGACTACAGATCACTAGCCGACAGAAGGGTTGGCAACTGACCGAAGGACTGCCAATCAACTGAAGGACAGTTTAACAAACCACCCAAATCGACTAGGAACAAACCAATGACCGACCAAATGCCTATTACCCCTAGCAATTCACAAGTATCAACGTGAGACTCTCGCAACAACTCCTACAAAAATTTCTAAAGACCACCAAGGAAAAAACAAGTAAACTGGTCACCCTAAGGCATACCGGCTATCACTCTCAAAATCGTCCAACTTCCTAGAGCAAAGGTTGACCAACATCCAAGCAAAATAGTCGATCAACTCCAGCACGGTCGACTGACTTGAGGAACTACCTACTAGAAGATCCAGACACAAAAAAAAGATTCCAAAATCAATCATAAAGACTGTAAAACATGACAAAAGACAATAATAACACGTAATACTCTACTAAAGCAGGGGAAAATATGCAATTTTACACTTTTGACACTCTATTTCCTAAAAAACAAGGGATCCATAGTATACATTTTGAGCTTTTTGACTCTTTCTCTGTCTCTTGACCCATCTTTTATAAGAAGATATCTCTCCATTTCTCTCTTATAAACCCCAGTTACAATATATAAAATAGGTCACAAAGCCCAAAAATATCTTAGCTCGCCCTTACGGGGCAAGTATGTGTGTGAGCTTTCATTCCCTCTCTCTCTCTCTCTCTCTCTCTCTCTCTCTCTCTCTCTCTCTCTCTCTCTCTCTCTCTCTCTACTTCTCCTTCAAGGCTTCTACTGCTCCGATCATTGGGCATGTCTCAGAGGACAAACTTGGATTCAACATCATCATTAGAATAATAGTGCCAAATTTTATAAAAAATTCAATCGATTTATTATGTGATATGAAAGAAGAGTTAAAGCTGTATATTCCATAAAGAATCGGGTGGTAGGCATGCAAAATAAGGAAAAGTACACAATGCAACAATCAAATATTATAAAAAACAAAATAAAAAAAAGTTACTACCACGCAATATTCATCCAAGCCATTTTCTTTTGGCTAATTAGACAGTTAAATATATAGAATACTTTTAAAAATGATCTTAGGCGCACGAGAGATGATCAAGGCTCATATAATAGCCTCCGGCCATTTCTTTGTAATATTATATATATATATATATATGTATTTATGTATATATATATCTATCTATGTATATATGGATGTATTTATGTATGTATATATGCAACTTATGCCGCGTATTCAGATCAGTTTGTCGAACATCTACTTGTTAGTTGTAAGTCTTCTCTGGTCAGAGGTTCTATTCCTCGCGAGCATAGGGTGTAGTACTCAAATTATAGGCGCAGAAGAGATGATTGGGGCTCGTATCATAGCCTCCGACCATTCCTTTAAAAAAGATAATAAATGTATGCATGTAACATGTTGGCATCATTATAATACCAAGATACATGCATGAAAAGAAGTGTTTAATAATACAAAAAATTAATATTAGTGATGTTTTGATGTAAAAATAAAACAATAAAATTTTACTATGCCCAAATTGACACTTGTTTGCACTTCTAATTATTTTCTAAAAAAATTAATATTTTATGATTTAATCCTCATAATAGTTTAAGTTAATTTAATGGTAGCCATTAAGTTGAAAATTTGACTTTTTATAAATTAAAAATATAATATACTCAGAGCCACTCAAATGAATTTTAGTAGCTATCGTTAAAACTATAATAATTTTGTCATTTATGAACCACTTTAGATTATTTCAACAGTTTGGATAATTTCTATAAAATTAAATTTATTTTTCTGGGCTAATTCATCTGCATCAAAACTATAAACTAGGGCTGTCAGAACGGCTCATTGTTCGCGAACAGCTCCTGTTTGTAATAGGGAAGGCCAATCGGGAAGGAGGGGATGATCCATTTCTATACGATCTTCTTCACTAGGGCTGTCAATAACGCATTATGTTCGGCTCGTTAAGAAGCTCGTGCTCGACTCGTTCGCTAAGTTAACTTAGCGAAATAGCCAAACACGAATGAAGATTTGTTCGTTTGTTTTCGGCTTGTTTAGGCTCGAATATATAGATCTTTGATGAGTAGTATTTTTAAAAATACTAATTGACTACAATGCCACAAATATTTATAATCAATTAAATGTATTAATTAAGAAAATAGAATAAAAATCGTTGAATTAGATTAAAATGATATTTTAAATCTTGCCCCAATCCTTATCATCTTATGACTACGTGATTAGGTTTGTCAAAACGACTCTTTGTTCGTGAACGACTCGTGTTCGGCTCATTAAGAAAACAAGTCGAACACGAGCACATTTTTTGAACTCGAAATATAAACAAGCCGAACACGCGGCTCGTTTACACCCCTACTATAAACTATATTTTAGCGGTAGAAGTCTTGCCACATTATTTTATTACTACCAATTTTAAAATTATTAAATGGCGAAGCATAAAATTCGTACATTATAAAATTTTAATATATATATATATATATATTAATTTTATATTTTGCACGTAAGTGGGGGTAAGAGAGCCTTGTGGCCACTATAGGGATATAATTGAAAAAAATAAAATTTCTTGAAGATAAATAATAAATATTCGCGGTGCAGAAGAACACGCATGTTGTGGAGCCTTCACACCATACAACCAATTGAAGACGGGATCCGATACAGTATAAAAATTTATTATCCTAATATCATATAAAAATCGAGGAATATCACATATGAGATAATAGATTTTTAATGTAAAATTCTTAAGAAAGGAAAAAAAAAAGATGATTTTATATAATTTAAATGATTTGAAGTAACTTCAAAGAGTTACCATTGTACCTAAACATAAAAGCATAATAATAATAACATCATATATTATTATTATTATTATTATTATTATTATTATT